ATTTTGTCTTTTTTCTGTGGACTCACCTACATTAGGACCACCCAGTTCATCAGAGAAGCTCTAATAATATTGAACTTCAGAAGAGGTGGTATTAGACATTTGATTCCTCCTCAGGAAATCCTGCAGACTTTATATAAATCTTCCTTCTCTCTGGACTACTACTCCATCCACATTCCCAATGGGTTGTAGGAATGAGTGGTCTTCATCAAACAGGTATACTCAATCATACCTCTCTTAAGAATAGTAGGTCCTACTTACATCTGCATAATTAAACAGGACAATACAAAGCATGTCCCTGAGCAACCTGATGTTTTTGTCACCAGAAAGGGAAATGATGGGCAATTGCTAAGAGAGTTTCTCTCCATGTAATCTTAACTGACCTGCACTTTCCACACTTTACAATTTCTTGCAATGTCTTAGAAGAAACAAAAGCTTAACTCTAAATCTGTGAGCGATTTCTCATTCCCTTGCAGTCTTGTACAAGAATATTTGATTGCATGAACTCTATTTCTTGGAACGTTTCCTCCTTCACTCCATGTCTGTGCTTATACAAAGACTTCCCCAAAGGAGAGTAAAATGTTAGAGGAAAAGTGAGCCATGCCTAATGGAAAGTGGGTCCAAAAATTGATAAAAATGTGTCTTATGTTATAACTAGAAAATTAACTGGAAAATGGTTCAGAAACCACTGTGGAATGAGAGGAGGACTTAGTGTGATAGAATGCCGATTGTCACCTCAGGAGATCTAGTCCCAGCTATGATTCTGACGTTTTCATTCAGAGCCCTCATTCTCTGATATCTAAGGAAAGTTAGCTGAATTAAATGCCATCCAGTGTCCAGCTCTAACATTTCAGAAGGTAAGCTTCATGAAGGCAGGGTCATTCAGCATATAGTGGGTGCACAGGAAGTGTTGTCAAAGGAAGCAATGCCCTCTAGACGAAGACCAACAGGAACACACCTGTAATTGAGTAAATCGGGTTAATTTGTTGCAGTAAGGGAGAACACACACCATAGGGAACCGTGGGTCACCTCAGTAAGAGGACACTAGAAAGGAGGTATAGGTTTTAGGTTTGTGTTAGTTTTGTGGGAGGACTCAAGGAAGCAGGGCCTTGCTCTAAATGGGATGCTGTCAGGAAGCAGGGGTAATTTTAAGATTGGGTATTTTATTAAATCCTATCTAGAAGGAAGGAAGACTAGAAAGACTAATGCTGTGTTGGGAAGGAAGCACAGTCACTCTCATTACCCAAATTAGGGGGACATTTGGTTATTTTTGTGGCAGGACAATGTTTGTGTTTTTGTTTGTGTTCAGCTCTAATTACAGAGTTGTTTTGTTTTTGTGTGATTTGGCATGGTCATAGGATGGCCTATTTAGTGTTGATGTTCTGGAAAATTATGGTAAATAAGAAAACATCAGGCATAGCTGTGAATGCTAAGCCGGCCCTTAGCAACACCAAGGCCTGGCTGACAGTACCAGGCTGGTTCTCAGATATTAGGGACTACATGCCTTTTCTCTCAAGTTAGCTGGACAGAAACTTATTAGGAACAAACTTATGCCCATACATTTTATCCAGTTTGGCTATGCACCTAATATATGTTTCCTTTTCCAAAAATTGTAGTGAAGCATAGTTGATTCTCAACTCTGCTTCAAAATATATTTAACATGGACTGGATTTTCAAGTATAGAAAAAACTAAGAGATTTATAATTGTATATTTATCAAACCTCTCTGGAGTGGTGATATATTTCACATTCTCTAAGTTAATTTTTAATAGGCAAGTTCATTCTACACGGCAAAAACAATTCAGAGGTTCAAGAGAGAGAGGTAGCTGATGGGAGGACAAAAATAATATAATCCTTATACAGAAGAATGTGAGGTTATATATGAAAATGACAAATGAGTTCTTTCACAATGCAATCCCACTTTTGAGACTATTTCCTGTGGCTTTCCCTGTTCACGTATAAAATGACTCACATTCAAATTTCATTCATCATAGCATTGTTCATTATGGTATACTTTTGGAAACAATCCAGAGAATAGTTACATAAACTATGGTGAATCCAATTAGTAAAGTACTGTATAGCTGTAAAATAAAGAATGAGGGAGCTGTCTATATACTAGTGATACTAGTGTGGAAAACTCTAAGATATATTGTGAATTGAAAAAGCAAGATAGAGAATAATAAGATTTAAAAATTTATGTTCATATTTATATCTACATAAATAATAATACAAATATAAGAAGTGAGTAAAGTGATCACCTAGGGGCTTGGGGTAGACAGGGATGCGAGTAAGAAGGAAACTTCTTATATGCCTTTTAAAATATAATTTTGATGTTTGAATCATATAAATGTACTACCTATTCCAAATATTAAAATAATTTAAAGAAACATATATATACAATATAAAATGTCTTTCACCCCATTCCATTCCCTAGAAGTAATCACTTTGATCTGTGTCTTTTATAGCCTTTCAGAGTAGTCCATTGTATAACATTAGTCAAGGTTCTCCAGAGAAACAGAACCAAAATGTGTGTATTATACATAGAGCTCTATTTCGAAGAATTGGCTCATGGGATGGTTAAGGGCTGGCAAGTCTGAGATTTTCAGACAGGCTATCAGACTGGAGAGCGGGAAGGTATTGCAGTCTCAAGTCTGAAGAAAGTCTGAAGGTAGAATCCTTCTTCCTTAAGAGACCTCTGTTATCTTCTCTTAAGGCCTTTGCCTGATTGGATGAGGCCCACACACATTTTTGGAGGGTAATCTGGTTATTCAGAGTCTACTGATATAAATGTTCATCACATCTTAAAATACCTAAATAGCAACATCAAGCTGGTGTTTGACCAAAAGCTGGATTTAATGGATGGCCACACCAAGTTGAAACATAACCATCATACCCATGTACAATCGTAATATCTATATTACTTTTTTAATAGAAATGGTAACATGTCATATACACACCTTGTTTTAGGTGACAACAGTCCATGTTTTGAAGGAGAACTCTATAAAGAAATACACCTTTAAAGTATAAGAAAATTGGTAAGTCTGTACTATGGGGGAAAAGACATGATTAACGTAAAAAGGGAAACACCAGCTTGGAAACTCAGTGAATAGTTGTTAATGCTCACCTCACATAAAGACTCCTACAAATTGAAAAAAAAAAAAAAGAAAAACACTGATACTGCAAATCACAAAAAGCCAGTTCACAAAAGAAAAGCTTCAACGAGGAAGAAAATATTGAAAATATTTAAACCCCTACCACTCAAAGAAATGCAAACAGAGTCAGGTAAAACTTTATATAACTCCTTTTAACAAAAAAGGATAAGCAAGGTTGTTATGAAACTTAAGACACAAACTGCAATGCTGATGTCAGAGCAAACTAGTCAGCCTTTCAAGAGCTGTTTGGCAGGATGAATTACAAGCGATAAAAGCATGCCCTTTGGCCCAGCAATCCCTTTTCTGGGAACTAATCTTGAGGAGATTATTCAAACCATGGTGAAAGGCATACACTGTATGGATATTTACTGTAATATCATTTATACAATCAAAGAAATACAAACTATATATCCTGACAACATAGGAATACAAGCTAATTGTGGTTTATTAATTTCATGAAATGTAACTGTTAAACATGACTACAGGGACTAGCAACATGGTAAAAGTATCTTATATAATGTTAAATACAACAATTATGTTTTGGCTCTGATTGCAATGAACAGAAATCTGTATAAACTCTGTACACATGTGGACAAGAACAGACAGGAATTTTAAGGTTTAAGGAAACCTTAAAAATGGTTTGATCTGTTGGGATATCAGAATTTTTGTGGTATTTCTGTTTTTGTTTTAGTCCTATTAATATTATTACAATTTTATGTAATTGTAAGTTTTTAAAATTATAAGTTAACATTGTCCCAAACAGTAGCCTCAAATTTGAAATACCATTTAGTGATTAGAAGATAATTTAAGAATCATTTAATTAAGCCGGGCACAGTGACTCACGCCTGTAATCCCAGCACTTTGGGAGGCTGAGGCGGTTGGATCACGAGGTCAAGAGTTCAAGACCAACCTGGACAACATGGTGAAACCCTGTCTCTACTAACGTTAAAAAAATTAGCCAGATGGGGTGACAGGCGCCTATAATCCCAGCTACTCGGGAGGCTGAGGCAGAGAATTGCTTGAACCTGGGAGGCAGAGGTGGCAGTGAACTGATATTGTCTTTGCACTCCAGCCTGGATGATAGAATAAGACTCTGTCTCAAAAAAGGAAAAAAAAGAAAAGAATCATTTGATTATACTCATCGCCTTTTCTCCTGTTGTGATGGCTACACTATGAATCTTCGAGCATATTTCAGAAGCTGCAATTTTCATAGCTCTCATTCTCTTCCCAGTAACTAGCCATATTTCTGTTGATTAAGCCTGGAGAGATGCTTTGGAACCTTCATCAGTAAATATGTATAAGAGAGCAGAGAAGCTGTAAGCAAAGAACATTCCTGTGTCAATAAAATTAGGTTTCTTTCTAATATTAAAATAGTAGCTAGTATTATTCCTGACACTAAAGATGTTTCATTACAATTACAGTGCAGTAGTACTTTGATCTCCATAAAGACCCATTGTAGTATTGTTTATCTTTGTTCCTCGCTAAAGCTTGAGGTCAACATTTTGTCCTCACTGAACACAGTATCCAATAAATGAAGACTCAATGAGGAAAAAATATTTGGTATAAGTATTTCATTAGTTTTTCAGTTTTATGTTCCATCTCTTGATCTTTCCCTCAGATGGAAAGACAGTTTTATCAGTTTTGCAGTGCCTGTGGACTTTTACTTTATTTATTGGCTCTTAATTTTACGTATGGAAGGCTACTCATAGAGATAATCTTGATAGCAGGAAATTTTCCAATTAGTAAAATAGACTCCCGAAGCAGGGAAAAAATGATTGATGTACTGAAGTCCACACTAGCACCTGCCAAGAGCGGACTTGGTGTTAACATTTGTCACAAACGTGTTTTTCAGGGTGGATCATTTGTACACATTCTTTGTTCAGTGGTCTCCTGATGTCTATGGGAAAGATGCCAAAGAGCAAGGCTTTGTGGTGGTGGAGAAGGAAGAACTGAACATGATCGACAACTTCTTCAGTGAGCCAACAACCAAGAGCTGGGAGGTGAGTACTTGGGCAGGGTCCAACTCTCATAGTTCCTAAGGTGCAGTAAGCAGTCTCACCTTGATTCCAAGTAACAGGCTCGTAAGAAACTAGAGTCCCTGTGCACCTATGAAATCACAGAGGAAAATAACTTCGTTACTCCTTTGGAAGATAACACCACCACCACCATGCACACAGGCACGCAGTTCATTCTGACCACACTAGACGGATTCACTTATATTCTCACCTATAGCTCCATGCCTTAGTTCAGAGCTCAGCACATTTATTTTTTATAACAGGCAAGATAATAAATATATTTGGCTTTGTAGGCCATACAATTCCTGTTGCAAGTACTCATAGCTGCCCTTATAGACCAGAAGCAAGCATAGTATGTAAATGAATGAACATGACTTTGTTTCATTTCACATAGTTGTTATGTGTCACAAAATATTGTTATTAATTTTTACGGAATCACTTAAAAACTATAAGATCTTTCTTACCTCAAGTATCATATAAAAACAGGTAGTGGACTGGCTTTGGCTGACAAGCTGATATAGTTTGGCTCCGTGGCCCCAATCCCCACGTTTCAAGGGAGGGTAGAGGTGATTGGATCATAGGGGCAGTTCCCCCATGCTGTTTTTATGATAGTGAGGGAGTTCTCATGAGATCTGATGGTTTTAAAAGTGGCAGTTTCCCCTGCGCTCACTCTCCTGTCACCTGGTGAAGAAGGTACTTAGTTCTCCGTTGCCTTCTGCCATGATTGTAAATTTCCCAAGGCCTCCCCAGCCATGGAAAGCTGTGAGTCGATTAAACCTCTTTTGTTTATAAATTACCCTGTTTCAGGTAGCATCTTTATAGCAGTGTGAAAACTGACGAATACAAAAGCTGTAATTTGCCAGACCCCAGTTTTCTTCATCTACTCAGACAAGCATGTATCAAGTACTTTAGGGGAGGGCCCTGGAAACAGGATGCTGGATAACATAAGCTATCAACACTTAATAAGCTTGCAGTATTGAGAAGTTGATAGATGAGATCAGGAAAAATAGGTCTACCCCTCTTTCCTGTTCTGCTGCTCCCTTGAACCCCACTTAGCATTTCTTCTTTCCCAGCTTAGACAGGTGGTAAATTAATTCAAGCACACCCTTACCAGGACTCCTGAGTTCCTCCACTCCTCTCCCATCCACTGCACCCATCTAGGCTGCCTGCAATCCTGAATGAACCCACCCTCACAGTGTTTTGCTCCTAGGCGGCCAAGCACTGCTGGAAAGAACCTCTCCATGAAGGAGAATGGTGCCATTACAAATACATGGTTCTGAATTCATCTGTGTCCTTATCCATGACTAGAAATGCTATTACATACCTCTAGTGCCCTCCATTTCCTTACCTCTAGTGTTACAGGTAAGGAAATGCTTAAACTGTTGTAGCTTACTTCATCTTCCATGAATCCCGGAGGTTGGCTTTTCTTTCATTTTACAACGAAGAAGCCATTGGAAAAGATTTCCCCATCTTTCTTCTTCTCCATTTCTTCCTTTTGCTGTTACTGCACCCCTCATTTTTGCTCAGGATAAGAGTTTATCTTGTGCCTCACTTCTTGTTTTACCCAGTATAACTGGTTTTTTGGTTTTTTTTTTTAATGTCATTGCTGTCTCCTTCTTACTACCTCCTTTTTCACCAGGTTATGATAAAGGTTTATTTTTTTAGAGGAAGAAAACATCTCTCCATCTTTACTCTTTTTCCAGGTTCTTCCATATCCCCCTCCTTTCTATCACCATCAAACTTTTTGAAAAAAACTGGTTTATATTCATAGTCTCCAATTTCCCAGCTGCTCTTTAGTCATTCTCAACCTAGCAACTCAGCTGGTTCTCCAGTCACCATTGAAATCACCATCTACCTCACCATAGACTTCTCATTGCCATCTTCATTCTATGTAAATTTCCTCTGCATTTGACACAGACAACCTTACCCAAGCTCTGAAAACTGTTTCCCACCCAGGTTGCACAGCACCATGCTCCAGCTTCACCTCACTTCTGACCATTTCTTTCTACTCCTTTCCCTTTCTGTACCCCTTAAATGTTTTCTCTCTGAGATTTCTATTCTTGTTCTCCTCCATCTCCCTTAGAGGACTTCTGTTCTCAGTGACCACCTGAGTGTTGGCCATTGTTAGGTCTTTATCTGCTTTCCCAACCCCCTTCACCTCCTATGTGGTTAACCCAGTTGCCAACAAGGCATATCCACCTGAGAGTCCAGGATCATCTCCAACTCAACATACCTTTCCTCAGGACTCTGTTTTGCCCCGTATACATTCATTTTGCTTAGTGGTTGTATCAGTCCCATATCACCCAAACTAGAAAGGTTTGCATCATCAACTCTTTTTTTTCCTATGAAAAGAGTTCTTTCATAGGAAGAACTCTTCCTATAACTATAGGAAGAGTTCTATATGACTAGCCTGAAGTTTTTTTCAATTCATTCTTAGAAATGTCTCATAAATTCAGCTTCTATAATTCCTTCCTCATGGATCCTGCTTTATTTGCTTTTATGTTTGCCACATCTCACTAACTCATGCCACCACTTTAGTCCTTCTCATTTCAGTCTATCCTTTCAATCTTAGCTAAAGCCATCATTCTCGTGAGACTTTATTCATTTATCTATTCATTCAATGAATATTTGAATGTCTACCAAGTGCCAGATGCCATGCTCCATGCTTGGAATGCAGTGGTAAACACAGTGATAGTCCCTGACCTGATGATGTTTACAGCCCGCCACCACCCCCCACCCCCCGTTTAAAAACTGCTGCTGGGTCTTCTTTCCCTGCTAGATAAAATTCAGGCTCTTTAACTGGGCCTGAAACACTCTTGGTCATTTTCTTCTGAGTACTTATTAAGCCCTTTCTTGCTAGAGGCATACTGGATAATACAAGTAGACTTTCACATCAAGTAGTGTAGATAAGTGATTACAGTATAATGAGATAATTGCCGTTATTGGCGAGGTGCCAAGTCCAGTAGGATCATGTAGTCAGTCACAGGAACCAAGCCAGGGAAATCAGGGAAGATTCCCAGAAGGAATGATCTGAGCTGAGAACATAAGTAAGAGTATGCATACTTGGGTTGGGAGTAGAACATGGGACAAGTCTGGTCAGGTAGAAAAGTCTATGCAGAGGAATAACCCAGGAAAAGAGAGCATGAGGCATTTGCTGAACTGACAAAAATTCAGTGTGCCGGGGGCACAGAGTATAAGGAGGGAGTGGCAAGAGCTGAAGTTGGAGAGGTACACTGGGCAGAACACAAAGGACCTAATGACCCATGTGTGTGAGGTTAGCCACTTTCCTAAGGGCAATAGGAAGGCCGTTCTGAACATGGAGGATACACACAGGCATGCATTTTAGAGAGCTCAGTTTGGCTGCAAAATGTTCAGTAGATGAGAGTTGGACAACACTTGAGGCTTGAAGACATAGTAGGAGGCTCTTGCAGTAATGAACATTGAGATGCAATGGTTGCTGAAAGAGTGGTAGTGAGGACAGAAAATTGAGTGCTTTAGTAAGGTAGAGAAAAGGCGAAATACACAGGACTTTGTGAGTAATTAGATGTGAAGCATAAGGAAGACGTTGAGATTGATTTCTTGTTGTTTAGAGTGGGAACTGGAGTGATAGTGGTACCTGGCCCCTCCTGAGATAAGGAGCATAGCAAGGGGAAAGGCCCCTGTGTTCTGCTTTCAGTCTGAGTTTGAGGTACCTGTGGAATGTCCAAGAGGCAATTCAGTGAACTTAGGAAAAATATCTGAAGATATACTTTTGGAAAGCATGAACAGAATTGAAGTTATGGGTGTAGATGAGGACAGGTCATCCCAGAAAAGTATGTACAGTGGGAAGAAAACATGGCTCAGAAGAGACCCTTAAAGGATACCAGCAATAAAGGGCCAAAGAAAGTAGAGCCCAAGGAATAGCAGCCAGGGAATGGGGAGAAAAGTAAAGGAAAGTCATGTCTTAGAAGCCAACAGAAGGGAATGCTTCAGGAAGAGAGTTATTGGTCAGAAATGACTAATGCTGCAGAGGAACCAAAAGGTAAGAATTCAGGCCTTTTGGATTTAAAAGCAAGGAGATAGCTGGTGACTTTCACAAAAGCAGGTTTAGTACAGTGACTGGGTCAAAATTCAGATTTCAGTGGTTTAGAGAATGCATAGGGGGTAGCTATAAGTGGAGCTAGTAAATGTGAACAACCAACTCAAATTTGGTTTTGGAGGAAAACATCAGGTAATACAGTAACTAAACTGGAAAAAGTGAGGTTGAGGGTTTTCCCTCTTGTGAGAGGGACTTTAACATTTTAAAGGAGATCAGACAGGATGATAGATAGAAGGTCTGGAAGATAGAAAATGAAGATGGGAATAATCAGGAGAATATGTCCCTGAAAATCCATAGAGAACGTGGGGGTTGGGGCAGGATTGGTCTTAGGTGATTGGATAGAAGAAAAGAAGAATAGGATACATACAAGGAAAATGTAGATTCTGTGGTGGCAAATCACAGCATTTCTCATCTGATGGTTTCTGCTTCTCTCTGAAGCAGAAGGAAAGGACAGTAGGTATTAGAGGAATATGGAGAAGATACGAAATAGCAACTGTGGAGACAAGGAGAAAAGCTAAGTGAGAAACCATAGCCGGATGACTGCCTGATTCATGCATTTTAGCAGCATCAGAGAGTGAAGTGAGGTTATTTCTCTCCAGCAGCACTCCCAGCCTGGTATTAGATTTATCAGGGGGACAGTTGATTCTTCCAAGGCTGGAAACTTGTCAGATTGGAATGACCAAGAATGATGAGGCCTGCTCCTTGGGTCTGATCCCTTTAGGAATTCAGGACCTTTCACTGTGCATTTGCGCTCACTCTTCCTTTTCTCATTCACTTCCTCCTGGCCCAAATGTGTGCCTGTGCACACACAGACCTTTCCATGGTGAATTCTTATTATCCTTCAGCGTTCAGCTCATTTTTCAATTCTGTGATGCTTTCAGGCAAACTTACTTATGTCCTCCCATAG